ACCCAGGTTACATGGAGAAGAAAAAAACGTGAATCTCTTGTTGGTTTTTACACGTGTTTCTTTTCTTGTGGTCAGTTTGGCATGGTTTTTTTTCACGATTTTAGTTGTTCATGCATTTGTTTCCTATGGTTCCAATATAACCGTTTTGGTTTGACAGTTTTAAAATCATTAGAAAAACCGTCCACGTAAAACTGTGCATGTAAAATCGTCGAAAGGGAAGAATAAAAAAACAGCTCCCACAGTTCCTTAGGAATCTAACCTAGGACGCTTAGCCAGTATGAATTATGAGACCAAGACGCAAACTACTGAACTGAGGAACTTACAGAAGTATGTCTTCGCACTGCATATTCATCATGTTCTCCGACAGACTTCTGTAAAAACTTCTACACCTTACGAAAAGCTATTGCTGTTGAATTTGTAAAGCTCTTGGCTATGGTCGATGCATCTGAGATATAAAAGAGAAACGCTAACTGTATAGGTGTGCACATATATCATATGATACCATCTCGTGTATTTTATGACCAACGTCTAGAAACTTATGGTTAGGAGAAGATATTCACTATACTCTTCCTCTCTACCTTCTAAGACTATAGGTGTCAGAACAATTTTCAAACAAAAGAATTTGTGAAACGAGAAAGTTCACAAAACAGGCATATTTTGCAGAAACATGCGCTGGAAGATGTCTTCCCTTCCTCCCTTTTCCAAGTGTCAATTTTACTCTTTTCTACCGGCTAATGCTCTTTATTGAATAATCCTGAGTGTGAGATAGATTTGTCGAAAAGTCCAAGACTCGCTAAATTAAGGGTACCCCCCCTCTTTTTCACCTTGTTACCAAATGTGCAGCACACGTCCGATTGAGCTCCAATTTATAGCAGAGATAGAATATCGAAAAGTAAATCGATGTACTTTTGTCCAGAATTTTTGGAGATGTTCTTATATGGGTTTTCGGGAAAACTTCAGTTTTCATCCAGTCACATTACGATCCCTCGAAAAAATGGTTCGATCGAACTCAAAATTTTACCACAGATACTTCAGACCCTATCTCAGGTTTGTTATTTTCTTTTCGAAAAATATGCTTTCCTTCTCCAGCGCATGTTTCTGCAAAATAGATCGAATTTTGCAACCATTTCAAAACCATTTTAAGGTTTCGTACGAATCCTCTCTATTTGTATGGCCAGAGAAGGTTTCGTGTACGGGGCTTCGTACCGTTCTCTGAAAGGTCTCGTGTAGATCTTTTTTGTCGAGGTGCATGGGAAAGGTCATACTATCGTGTTTTGAAGGCTGTATCTCTCTTTTTTATCCATACTATTTTCTACTAGTTTTACAAACAATCATCATGAAATAACAAAATAAAAACAACTAAAGATCGTTAAAAACAAAAACAAATCACACGGATCAACTAGTATGTACTACAACTACTGATTTTAAAAGCGTTTTTCCCCATTATCAACGAAATGACACATAGAGAAAAGGGACAAAGCTGGAGGAAAAAACTATATACACACAGAGTATGGAAAAGAAATCGAAGCGCGTCACTATTTATTATTGTTATTCTTGTTGCTGATTATTTTGTTCAAGTAAAAAGCTGTTTACTAAATTCAAAATATTACTCATAGTTCTTAAGATTAAAACAACTGATTTAAAATAATTCGTCTGAATAACAACAACCACTTCGTCAGTCTGTCTAATTTTAAACTAAAACTCTTCTTTCAGAAAATATTTATATTTTCTGCACGAAACCTTTGTAATCGAGCGCACAAAACCTTTAAAGCTTCGAAAGCGGTTTGAAGTTTTGTAGAAGTTATGGAACCTTGCTGGTTTCGAGAACTAAGTACGAAACCCCTTATGTTCTGTAAAAAAAATATCTTTTTATAGAGTGTACTACTTATGTAACCACGCATGCTCCGGTTATTCCGATTAATGTCGGTTAACCACTGAAAATCAATCGGCAACCGATCATAACTGATAAATTCTGAGAAGAAATTCATCATTGTTCTGCTTTTAGAGCACTACAACAGCTGAATAACCGAGAGGTTATTTATAATTGACGCATACTTCGAAAAATCGTGGGACAGAACACAGATGATCAGAGGAAGAAATATATACATACTGAATCTACAGATATTAAATTCGTTTTTTAAGTCAAGAAGCCGTAGCTTTGTGTACAATTTTTTCTGGATTTTGTAGTTTGAGTTTTTGGATTGACGGTTGGCCGAAACCGATATACAACTATGAACTATAAAGAAACATGCGAATTTATCCATTCACAAAGATAAAATTAAATGTTTCTTTGACAATAGTAAATAGATATTATGTGCTAACTCGTTACATAATTTAAGAAAAATCATCAAAAATAAGTGTACAGATAGACGTACACTATAGTCTCCGTGTAGATGTAGGTGAATATCTTCACTTTCGTTTTTCTTTTGTCATTGTTTTACGGTGTGAAAGAAATCAAATATAGATTTATGTACAAAACAAAATAAATATTCATTTTTTATTCTCAGTTACACAGTCTAACATAATTTAAAACTGAACCGTATTCTTTTTGTTTATAAATATCAGTTACACATATATTATGTATTTATATATCCGTTTTCAAATCAAACAATTAATTTCATCATATTATGAAAATTTTTTTCTGTTCAATGAACATAAGCATAAGATACACTAGAAATTGTTGTATACAAGATGATTGTTTGACAAAAAAAAACCACTGAGTTCATATCATAAAAAATATTCATTTCAACAAATTAGATTTTAATGGTCAAGTTCTGGAAAAAGTTTATTCAACTAAGATGACTTTCCGGATTTCTTATTTAGGCAAGATTTCCACTTAGGCAAGTCTTTGAAATAAATTATTCACTGCCAGAGCTAAATAAAAAACTTAAGCACATTTGAACAGAGTTCATGTATCATTATATATAAAATGTTATATTCAAATTTGACATTTTAAATCGATATTTTTTTTTTAACATTGAACTTTATTGTCCCTATTTAATGAGCTTGACACATATGAGAAGACAAAAAAGTAAGTAAATAAATAAATATAGAGAAAAGAAAAAAAAAAGTAAATGATTCGCACATCATCATATGAGATACTTTTAATACAGGCGACGAGAGTAAAAATAAATGAGTAAATAACAACAACAACCGATGTAGATAAGTTAGCGGGGAGAACACACATACACTATTTTAGTTATAGTATGCATACACACATATTGTACAATTATACTGACACAAAAAAAGGTAAAACAAAATATCGAACGAGACCCGACAGAATAGCCTTCTATTCGTTTTCAAGGTGGTTGGAGAAAAGATTTATATATAAATGCATGGATGGAAGAAGATGAGTTTTTGAGATATCCATATTGCAAAGTATAGATAGAGAGAAATTCGAACAACTCTATCCGAGTATGTTTCGCTCTATTTGAAAGTCTATTTAAGAATTTACTAACTTTTAGGAAGCCGATGGTACGGTACCAATTCTTTGAGTTTTTTTTGCTGCTAAATATGCTGCCCATGTTAATTGGTACTAAGCTGCTTCATGTGCTACCTGGAGATGTTTACTATACTTTAACGGCAGGGAATATACAAGGCGCGATCTGTAATAAGTGTGTATGATGTTCAAACTTGAGAAATACTCGATTTTATGTTTATTCGTAACAGTGAAACGTGTAGGCATGTTACGAACCCGATCGTTCGACGTTCGAAGTTTGGGTTCGACCAAAATTTGACATTCGAGTTTAGCTTTAAAAAGCTTGGGTTCGGGTTCGAGTTCGACATCAAATATTTAACAAAGAAAAGTAAATAATCAGAGAATTATTATGTATTCTGCTAAGCACGAGTTTTGCACATATTAATGTTTTCCTCTCACTTTCGCACTTTTACTCGAAAAAAAGTTTTTCCTACAAGCAAAAGCGTGAATAACATACCAGATAAATGAGCTAGAACAAAGGATAAAAAAGGAACTTCTGATGTATCAGAAAAAGTACCTGATACAAACACACATAAAGATGTCTTTACACAACAAACTTTTAGTCACACCATTCATTTTCAGCCTATATCATTTTCTTTAACACCTTCAACACACAATTTATCTTTAAAAAATAGAAAAAGCCAAATTCTCTGGTTTTAAGAGTGCACGCTCTTTTCTGCCATAATAAGGGCTTAAACTGAAAGCGACCTGTGTGAAACACTGATTCCTAGAGGCAACACTAATTCATAAAGCACCATGAAACTAGGGGCAGAAGGTGAGCAATTATATTCGCTCAAGGCTTGCAGTATCAAAAACGTTCCAGGCATATTCTATGAGCCGTGTCTAGCTACTCTTGCTGCTAAACCTACGTTAACGTTAATTTAAAGTCGAACTCGTACTTCCGGACCCGAACTTTTCGACATCGAACGTCTTCGAACTCGAACTGTTCGAAGTCGAACTTCGAATGTAGGTTCGGGTCCGTAACATCTCTAGAAACGTCACATAACGGATGGGGTGATGAATAAGATATTGTATAATATTTGCACTGCTTGCACGGTACGTCAAACTTTTTAATAGTTTAAATCTTAGTTGTAAACTCTTTCACGATACAGTTTGAAAGAGAGGACATTTGTCAACACACTCGATCTTCGTTTAGACTTTTAATACTTGATTTTCGACAGTGGGACGATACATATTCGAAAACGAGATAGAAGTACTCAGATACAGCAGAAATCATTTTTTTACACAAAGATTTAACCTTTTTTAACTTTCAAGCCAACATTCTTAATCACCGTAAATTTGTGCATCGAGTCTACGTACTTCAAAGACTTACTGGAAAACAACTTTTCCAGAAAGTCAGTGCGGGCACTGCAGAAATGATCAAATAATAAATAGAAGAAAGAAAAGAAGAGTAAAACAGTCTGATCTTATGTTAGAGCGGATGTTTGATAGGAGACGGCATAATAGTAGTTACTATATTTTTTTCTATCTGTTTCATAATCTTTTGTTTAGATATTGAGTAATGCAAGATAGATCGACGCGGACGCGAAAAAAGAAAAAATGTTGTCCATGCTGTGTAGATGGCAATAACAGAAGATTTGGGTATATTCGTTCTTATTTAAAATATAAATTCGATAATCTATTTTCTCTTGGTCTAGTCTTTATTATTCCTTTCTTAACGGTCATAGCCGCATTTATAATACTAATATTTAGTGTTATTTATCATTTTTCTGGTCAAACAGACACCTATGAAAACGCATTATGGGAAACATTTACGCGCACACTTGATCCATGTGCCGCTGCAGACGATGAAGGTGTAACACATCGAATTGTATCTGGAATTGTGATACTTTGTGGACTTGTTATTGTTGCAATATTAATTGGTGCAATAGTCACTTTTATGGAAACGAAACTAGGCGAATTAAGAAAAGGACGAACAACAGTTGTTGAAAACAATCATACAAGTATACATAATTAATCATAAAAATAAAAGATTAAATCTGCGTCTTTCTTTCTTCCAGTTATTTTAGGATGGTCACCATTAATATTTGATATTATTAAAGAATTAGTTATCGCTAATGAAAGTCAACGTAATCCATCAGTTGTCATTTTAGCCGAGAAAGAGCGTGAGGAAATGCAAGATATAATTAAAGATAAAGTAAATAATTGCAAAAATACAAGAATTATTTGTCGAAGTGGGAATCCGATGTTGGTATGTAAAAAGCAAATGCTTATCTTAAATTTGCAATAGCTGCACTTTTCTCACACAACTGAAATTTAATTAAAAACAAAATCAAAATAATATAAAAATGAGGAATAGTTTTTACTTTTCTCGTCGCTGTACCTCCTTGTTTGGGTATATAGTTGTGATCGTTTGGTGTAGTTCAAGCAACTTTGGCCCGATTCGGGCATTTTTCCTCACAGCTGGTATTCTAACTCTGATTTCTCAGGTGCACATGCCAAATTTGCTCTCAATTCAATGATGTTTGCAACTAATACCTTTCTAAACTGAAATAGACGTCAGCGGAAAAATTGTTTCATCAAAACAAAACAGTCGTACATGTCTTGATGCAGTTCTCCGCGTATATTACTCATTCAATCTTACACTTTTTGGGATAAAGATGAACTGAATTTTGACATAAAAAATCAGAAGTTATTGAACACTCCGCAGCGAGGTACAACAGTAACAACGCATGATCTGTATATATAGTATGGGTAGAATACATTTGTGAATCTCTTAGGACCATTACATCAGCAGGAAAGTGGTAATTCATTGCCCGCAGATGGAAAAAGATCTTGAATCGCTTTCCAATCTACTGGCAAATTTCGTTGTAGTAGTTAAGTCAATATTTTTACCTTGTTACTTTGCTGCGGGTGCTGGAACGTCGACTTAGATCTCGTTGGGACCCCCTCCATTTTTTGGATCCGGTGGCTCCGTTGGAGGTTTCACGGTATATTACGCTATATTCAGCTGTAGACATCAAACACACTGCGTTCACTTTTCTTTCCTTTGATCTTA